CACTGGACATTAAGAAAGCCTTCAACTCGGCCAAGTGGGACTACATCATGGGGGCACTTGGGAGGATGAACGTTTCAGGGTACCTGCGGAAGATGGTGGAAAGCTACTTCACAGATAGAATCTTCATGTGTGATACCGGGAGGGGCCCCAAAAAGTACATTTACCGGGGAGATACCTCAGGGCTCTGTACTAGGCCCTCTTCTGTGAAACATCATGTATGATGGACTACTGAAGCTGCAACTGCCGGGAGAGGCGAGACTCGTGGCGTTTGCAGACGATGTAGTTGTAGTCATCGTAGAAAAATACCTGGAGGAGATCAACTTTATCTTCGACATGACTTTCAAGAAGATATGTGGTTGGATGCAATTAGTTGGCTTGCAACTAGCAGAGCATAAGATAGAAGCTGTGCTTATTACAAGCAGAAAGCGGGTAGAAACGATGAAGCTGCAAGTCGGCGAGTACGAGCTCACTTCTCAGCCGTTCATTCGGTACTTGGGAGTGATGATCGATGCTCGCCTCAACTTCAAGCAGCAAGCAGAGCATGCGGGTACCAAGGCGTCTGGAGTTAGAACTGCCCTATCTCGTCTCATGCCTAATATAGGAGGCCCAAAACAGAGGAGAAGAGCCCTATTGTCATCGGTGATCACATCGGTGATTACTTATGGCATCGCCATATAGGCTGACGCCCTGCTGATGCAAGAGTCGAGGCGGAAAGTGGCACCAATTCATCGGCTGAGCGCCCTCAGAATTGCCAGCGCATATCGCACCGTGTCCGAGGATGCAGTGTGTGTCATTACCGGGATGCTGCCCATTGAAGTACTTTCTGAAGAATGACGATCCATTTACCAGCAGAAGCAATCAAACACACTGATCCCAGCAGAGCTGAGGCTATAAAAAAGGCGCAATAGCATATGCCGATGGCACTTGCAGTGGAAGGCCTCGACCAAGGGGAGATGGACTCATCGGCTGACCTCGAAGGTAGACGTCTGGCTGAACCGACAACACAGGGAAGTCTATTACTACCTAACTCAGATGTTGTCAGGACACGGGTGATTTCGGAAATATCTTCATAGATTCAAACATGAAGATTCCCCGTAGTGTCCGGCCTGCCCAGGAGTCAGCGAAGACGCTGAGCACGTATTTTTGTGTGCCCGCGCTTCAGCGAGATCCGGCGTATTTGAGAATCCACCCTTGGAAGGGAAGTCTTACCTGAAAACATGGTGAAAGCTATGCTGTCATCGCAGGCAGCCTGGGACGCAACGAATAACTTTGCCGCGGCAGCCATCGAGGAACTCAGACAAGAAGAACGGGAGCGCAAAGCTGCAGCATAGGTAAGAAATCTAATGGAACTCCTTATTCACAGCCAACACCTTAGCGGGATCACGGGACGTACACTAGATAGGAAATGTGGAAGAGCAAATAGCTGAGACCTCCCTCGCAAAGTAATACTTCATGGTGGTTCCGCGAGAGGATGAAATGTTAGTGAATGTCTGACTGGAGTTTAGTGGGTATTGGCAGTCTATCTCGCACTTACTGTCCGAGTCCCACACTCAACTGACGGAGGGAAGCATCTATCCCCTCCCTCAGGTGGTCGTGCGTAAATGCATTCTCCCAACAGACAAAAAATACACACACCACACACATATATACAGACATTGACTTAAAAATTGTTAAAAAAATTCTGGATACCTTGAAACATGGAGATATGATTACAATAATTCCCCTACCCCGGGAAGTTGATTATAAGGACTCACCTTTCTTGAAAGGCTTTGCAGATTTAGAGAAAATTTCTCTCCCGTTGGAAATCGACATTTCATTTTTTTTTTGTTTAAACAAATTATTTAGAAAACATGATCAGTCTGGTGCTAATGAAGGAGATGTCTTCACGAAATATGCATTCATTCTATGGAAAACCTCAACAACTACGTGAAACACGAAGAAAATCATTTTTTCGTGCATTTTGGCGGTAATGAAACCGTTGCAAATATAACAAATATTTGAGCACTTAGCTNCTTAGCTCTCATCGCCCCCCCCCCCAGCTTACGAAGTAAATGAAAAAATGAATGAAGAGTCAACAATTTGAACGTTGATTGCTTGAGACCGACATCATTCTGAACTGAGAATGGTATTCTTTTTGTGTTTAACCAATTTCGATAAAAGAGTCAATTCGCTGATCATTTGAACGTCTTCAAGTTCTACAGTCTGATTGCAAAAGCGGATTTCCTACTTCAATCAACAAAGTATACCAAATGACATATATCGCAGTTGAATATCAATGCAACAAAAAATAGAAAAATAAAAAAACCCTGGAAAATACCCGCGGCATTCCCGCGGTGGGAATGGAAAAGGGTCCTTGATTTCGCAATTTTCTCCTTGAGTACGCGACGGACGTCAGTAACTTTTTCTCTTGCATCGGAAGTTGTTGACTTAGGATTACCTGCAGTTGTGAATATATTTTCGGGAGTATTCATCGTCGTATTCGAAGATTCGGTGGGAGAAACTGTCAAATTTTCTCGGTTGTTTTACGAATTATTTCTCTCGTGTAGACATGAAAATTGACGCTGTTGTAGCAACTTGACTAGGTGAATGAAATGCATGTTGAGAAATCGAATGAACATTAATATTTGTTACATCCTATGAAGAAATGTGAATTTTGTTTGTTTTTCCATTACACATTCAAGTTGATTCGTGTGGTTTGAAGGAATAAAAAATACAAATCATTGATAATTATATTTATTATTGTAGCACATTGTATTATACATTCCAGTATGTTTTGCTCAATGTAGTTGAACATGAATGCAACAAAAAGAGCGGTGAGATTGAGCTTTGCCCACTTCTCATCACTACAACGTATAGAATTAATAAGTGGTATTGACATCTAGTAGTCAATACCCATATTTGCCGCAGCAGCCGAGCGGTATTACTGGCCCTACTCAGATTGCACGCAATTACCAATACATTTGCTCATAAATTGGGCTCAAATGGCGCAAGAAATATCAGGAATCGGATAACAGCAGTTTTATAGCACAATTTGGGGGCTAAAACTAGAAAAAATTATCCACTGGTCGAGCAATTGAACATCGCAAGGACCTCAAAACTTCATTTTGTGTTGCTAAATAGTTAAAATGGTAGATGAAGTGAAAATTTTTGGAAAATTATAACATTCCATCAAAATCAGGTGAGCGATATTGCCTACTCAGCGGTACAGACACACCATCGCCTACAGGAATCGACATAATTATAAATTATAATTAATATTGTTTGATTACTTGGATGATCCATAATTCAAGGGCTTAATTTATCAATTAATTGAGCAATGAATAATCTGGACCAAGAATTACCAATTATTTTACTAATCGACACTTGGTATCCATCCTGACCCATTTTTTTATAAATGAAGCCCACCAACGATTATCTATTAATTAGTGAATTGTCAATCAAATCAGAATAATATATTAACCGATTAATGTATCAACTGTTAATCCCGTTTGATTTTTTCTCAATTATTCAGAGAGGAATTTATTGAATCTGGAAATTTTTGGTGATGATAATTAGGGTTCAGAAAAAAAAATTATTTAGTCAATGAGTGATTTTTATGAAGAAATTTTTAATTATTTACCCAATCATCAATTGGAATGCATAATTATCCAATATTCCGATCAATTGTCAATCATACCGAGACAACTTTCGCTACTTGAATCAATTCGTGATCGAAACGAAATAATAAATGGGTAATTATCGTTGTATATTATTCAATTATTCAAGGAATCTCCAAAATTATCCGATCATTAAATCAGTGTAAGAACTCATCAAAATTCTAATACATGATCGTGAGAAAACCACTGGAGCGATTCATTCCAGTGATATTCTAATATCGTTAATTCAATCACGTATGAAAAAATCCTATAGGAAATCCTACAGGAATATGGATTTTTAGATTTAGGATCCTATGGAGATTTTGAACATTTTCTATAGGATTTTTCTGGTAGGATTTACTATAGGATTTCCTATAGAATTCACTTAGGGTTTTCTATAGAAAGTAACACACAAAATTGAGACTCGAAACCAATCGGTTACAAGGATCAGGATTAGGGTCATAAATCTGATAGGAAACTCTATAGGGAATCCTATAGGAAATTCTGTGGGAAATCTGATAGAAAATCCTATCAGAAAAATCCTATAGGAAATGTTCGAATTCCCCATAGGATTTCCTATAGGAAATCTTATAGCATTTTTTCATACGTGCAATTATCTAATTTTTTTTTATTTAGGGCATTTTAAACCCTGTGGTTTACTCCTTCATCTACCCACTGTACCGCATTTGCTCCCGCGAGAAACGGAGGAAACCACAGCAAACCTCTGTCGGTACAGTCGATTCCTCTATTAGGAACCTCCAACTCGTTCAGAGCCAAGGTGAGACGGACCCCACCAGAATTCGCCCCAGGCAAGCCCCTTAACCCCGTTTACCGGAAGTTAAGGGTCCCCCCCAGTCGGGATCCGAAGCCCAGCCATCCTTTCGAGCCCCCAACCCCTGTTTCCAGAAGTTGAAAAACCCGATCGGACTGGGATTCGAACCCACGACCTCCCAGTGGCCAAGCCGAAGTACCGATTTAGTCACCGCGACCATTGGACGCCGTTAATTACATAATTTATTCATGAAAAATCCTGGTCTTAGCACTTTTCAAATTCTTTTCAAGGATTTTTCGGAAAAACCACTGGCGCGATTCGCTTCAAAATGTAATCAGGTCTAAATGACATGAAGACCTTCCGATTGCGTCATCTATCATCTTGATCACACGATTCATTCGAAAGAAATCGTCACACCCACACACAGAGATTTTTTTTCAGATGTGTTCAAAAAGTTTTAAACACCTTAAAACATGTAGAAATGGGGAAAAAAACCAATGATTCATCTTCGCGGTGATAACTTTAACTACCCGATAGATCGGAAAGTTGAAAATGGTTGATTTTAATGGACGAATAAGTGGATAATAAAATAATCAATGGTTTAAATAATTTATTGATCAAGATAATTATCTATTGATCAGACAATTGCCCATTCTCATTAATGATTATTCGATCAACGAATTAATTTGCGGCTGTTATTCATGATTGCAATGATAATCAATCTCTTAGTGATGCCGATTACTGATGATTTTAGTAATCGGTCATACGTCAATGCTGATTGTCGATTAAGTATTTAATGCATAATTTTTTGTTGTGATTCCCGACTAATGGAATAATCGGAAAAATGAAACTACCAATTGACGATTCCGGGTGATAGTTGGAATTATTTTGAAAAAATTTGGGAAATTAATTATTATTGATGATCTCTGCTCCCCTGGTATGTAGGTTTTGCTGTGAATGTTGTCATCGTAGTTGCGGTTGATGATAGAGGTTTACCAGAAGCATATTGTGAACAACTACGGCATATATTCAACAGGTGGAAAAATCTCTTTGAATATTCTAAATCCTTTAGAATTGCAGGTGTAATAAATACAACGGTTTCCAGACAACTTGAGCTCCCTCATTTTTTTATCACACAATTTATCACTATGATCGGAAATCGGAGATTTTTCATTGGCTGAAGGATTATCAAGGACACATCTTTTCAATCTATCCGAAAAAACCTCATTCTTTGCGCATTCTGCGTACATAATTTTTGATGATGTACAAATGGAGTAGCTGCTCTTGTTCAATGAATTGACTCTTGGGACTTCTTGGGTGCATGTTTGATTGGTCTCGACTCGTTTAACTCTACCACCGCCGGGTGCCATGAGACAGCGGCCTTCGCGATTATCGTAGTATTGCTCATGGACACAGTGTCGGACCGGTGAGCGACCGGGACGAGGATTGTTGTAATGCTGCACTTGATTTGGTCTGGTTACCTTTCAGAGAAGATTAAAATTCGATTACGAAGTGGAAAATGAAAAAAAAAATTACATAGGAATTCTTATTCAATAAGTTCATTACTTTGCTATTTTTCCGTAATAATAATAACTCAACCGCGTTTAAATCATCGGGGATTTCCCAATGGTCCCATTATAAACAAAGAAAGTGTCAAGATTTGCAGGTTAAAAAGTTTTCCTGCAAAACTGAACACGATCATTTGTGTGCAAGGAAGCTTGAGGGAAACACTCGATAATTATGAAGCTCGAGGGATATTTATCGAATTATTCCAATGCAGCATGACCTCACAGGATGGAGAGTTTGAAATTACACTTTTAAGGACAAATGAAGAGCTAGTGTACAATATGGAAAATCTACCGTGCAATATTCAAAACAAAGCTTCTAGCCCCCTACGTGACGGCAAATATGCACTCTGATTGGTCGTGATCTATTCTCGGGGAATAGGCAGTAAAAAAATCGTATTTTTCTTTGGATGGGAATTATTTCATTTTGCAGTACTTATTATATGCAAGGTGTCCCATTTAAAACAGGATGGTTGAATAACTTTTTGGAGAATCATTAGACAGTAAAAAAGCTCAAATGAAAGTTGCATTGTTCGAAGAAAGAAACTCAGTGTTAATCGCATCTGAACTTCCATTTCTTATGTTTCTATGCTACGAGTATTAAGTCAGTTTTTTCAAAGGGGATCATTCTTTTCATCCCTACAAAAACTGTTCCTCTTGCCGAAAAACATTCAACCATGTCATATTTTCTCATGACGTCATCAATTTTCTATGAAATATCGTACAAAAGTCGGACATAATAGGAAGATCTTTATTTCGACGTTAGTACAGGTAGTGCTCAACATTTTACCTATGGATATTCACATAGGTGTAGTTAATAGTCATGCCACGAGATGGTCAATGTTTCCGCCACTAACATGAAAGCATAATTCCAGCCGCTGTCGAGAGTTTCGCACGACAGATCGAAGGAAGCTAGGTGGAATACTTGCAATCGTATTTCTGATGCGCCTTTGAAGATCTGCAGGTAATTTTTACAACATGAACTAGCAGTGCTTAAGGAAAATGAGAATTTCGCTGTGAGACCAAGGAATTGGTTTCTACATGTTGGTGCACCACACTTGGTTTGATCTGTTAGAGATTATTCAAACATTTTTTTCCCAACCGATGCATTGATTGTGATAGTCTCGTCCAATGGCCTCCTTGATCTCCTGATCTTACGATTCTTGATTTTCATCTATCGAGTTACGTTAAAGGATCAGGCAAATCGACCAACAATAAAAATACGATCGTGAACATTCCACCTGACGTCCTTCCATCCGTTCAGAGGAACTTTGAACGTCAGCTTGAATTGTGCATTCATGTTGATGGCGGGATCATTGACCAGTTTCTAGGATAACTATTGACCACGCTGATATAAAAGGTGGAATGGTTTAATTGCTGTTAAGGAGGCGTCTTAACTATTACCACCATTAATTAAGTATTAACGAATCGTCGTAATAGTTAAGAAGCCTCGTTAACGGCAACTGAATTCTTCTGTTAGTGCACAACTATGTGACCATCCATAAGTGAAATATGTATAAAGCAGAACCTGAAATACAGTCTGAATAACGATATTTCGATTATTCCCGATTTTTGTACGATATTGCATAGAAAATCGATGACGTCATCATAAAATCTAGTGCGGTTGAATTTTTTTTCGGCAAGATGAACAACTTTTTTGAGGGTGAAGAATATTGTTCACATTTAGAATGCCTTTATGCTCGGAGCATAGAAACATGAGCTATAAAGGCCTAGATTTTATTGGCGCTGAGCTTCTAATTTTGAACAGTACAACTTTCATTTTACCTTTTTTACTGTTACATGTTTCCTCAAAAAATTATGCAACCTTCCTGCATCGAATGGGATTCCCTGTACAGTAAATTTGGGTGCGAAGAAGTGAAACGGTTCAAATCGACTTCTTTGCAAATATCTTCATTCTAATCCAGACCGATGATGACTATAATAAGTTTTTCGGTCCTCCTGACAAATAGCATATTTCGATACTATTCATTATTGAGAATTTTCACGAGTGTGATTGGCAGTCCTCGACTTCGCCTCAGGTCGCCAACTTCACACGTGTGAAAATTCTCATCTCACATGTGTCGAACAATAGTTTTTGACAGTAGTGTTACGTTCAGCAAGTGCCAAACTGTGCCTTTTTTTATTTATAAGTAAACGAAAAGGAAAATTTCGATACGAGGTAAACGTAGCAGCAGTGCCGAAATAGTACATTTTGTCATCAGGCGATAAAACTATTATCTGATTATGTGACTCGCCTTCAGCTCGGATGATAAAGTCACGTGTGTAACACATAATATCGCCGTATAACATACAATATTTTATGTCATTGGGCCCGAAAACCGCGACTTAACCGAACGACGCGAGGAGAAAATTAGTGTTTAATAGTATCTTATGTCATAAGGCGATATCCTCGCCTTCGGCTCGAATTATAAACTCACATTCGCCAGATAATGCTTTTATCGCCGTGTGACATGCGATATTTTATGTCAGTGAGCCCGAAAACCGCGATCTAACCAAGCGAAGCTCGGTTAGAATCGCGGTTTATCGGGCCTAATGACATAAAATGTATTTCCCGTCTTGAGTTGTTTTTACTTCTTCGCTATTATATTAATATTGCTATTACTTGATGATGACTTCTAGGTGATCCATCATATCTCAGTGTAGTTGTCTCAGTTGTCGCACTATTGGAAATTGTTATCATGTCAGTTTGATTAATCACTGTCTTGGTCTCAATTGTTATTTTTTTCACATCCTTTACGGTTTTCGTTACATTAGTGTCTGATTTGTTCGTCTCAATTTTCGTTCCATTTGCAGTTGGTATAGTCTGAGATCCGTTATTTGATGGTGTCATTGTCTTAATTCCATTATCCAGCAATGTCGTTGTCTCATTTGTCGTTCCGTTTAGAAATTTTATTGTATCAGTTTGATTAATCAATGTCTTTGTCCCAATTGTCGTTTCATTCACAAGCTTTGCGGTTTTCGTTTTATTAGTGACTAATTTTTTCGTCTGAATTTTCGTTTCATTTGCAGGTGGTGGAGATTGAGATCCATTATTTGATGATGTCGTTGTCTTATTTCTCGTTCCGTTCGCAACTTTCATTGTATCAGCTTCATTATTCACTGTCTTTGTTTCAATTGTCGTTTCATTCACAAGCTTTGTGGTTTTCGTTTGATTAGTGACTGATTTTTTCGTCTCAATATTCGTTTCGTTTGCGGGTGGTGTAGCCTGAGATCCGCTATTTGATGATATCGTTTTCTCAATCCCATTATCCATTAACGTCGTTCCATTTGCAAGTTTTAAGGTATCAGTTTCATTATTCAATGTCTTTGTCTCAACTGTCATTTCATTCACAAGCTTTGTAGTTTTCGTTTTATTAGTGACTAATTTTTTCGTCTCAATATTCGTTTCATTTGCGGGTGGTGGAGATTGAGATCCATTATTTGATGATGTCGTTGTCTTATTTGTCGTTCCGTTCGCAACTTTTATTGTGTCAGTTTCATTATTCACTGTTTTTATCTCAATTGTCGTTTCATTCACAAGCTTTGTGGTTTTCGTTTCATTAGTGACTGATTTTTCCATCTCAATTTTCGTTTCATTTGCAGGTGGTGTAGCCTGAGATCCGTTATTTGATGATGTCGTTGTCTCAATCCCATTATCCAGTAATATCGTTGTCTCATTTATCGTTCCATTCGCAACTTTTATTTTATCAGTTTCATTATTCACTGTCCTTGTCTCAATTGTCGTTTTATTCACAAGTTTTGTAGTTTTCGTTTCATTACTGACTGATTTTTTCGTCACAATATTCATTTCATTTGCGGGTGGTGTAGCCTGAGATCCGTTATTCGATGATGTTGTTGTCTCAATCCCATTATCCAGTAATGTCGTTGTCTCATTTGTCGTTCCATTCGCAACTTTTATTGTATCAGTTTCATTATTCACTGTCTTTCTCTCAATTGTCGTTTTATTCCCAAGCTTTGTGGTTTTCGTTTCTATAGTGACTGATTCTTTCGTCTCAATATTCGTTTCATTTGCGAGCGTTGCAGCCTGAGATCCGTTATTTGATGATGTCATCTCAATCCCACTATCCAGTAATATTGTTGTCTCATTTATCGTTCTATTCGCAACTTTTATTTTATCAGTTTCATTATTCACTGTCTTTGTCTCAATTATCGTTTCATTCATAAGCTTTGTGGTTTTCGTTTCATTAGTGACTAATTTTTTCGTCTCAATATTCGTTTCTTTTGCGGGTGGTGCAGCCTGAGATCCGTTATTTGATGATGTCGTTGTCTCAATCCCATTATCCATTAACATCATTCCATTCGCAACTTTTAATGTATCAGTTTCATTATTCAATGTCTTTGTCTCAACTGTCGTTCCATTCACAAGCTTTGTAGTTTTCGTTTTATTAGTGACTAATTTTTCCGTCTCAATATTCGTTTCATTTGCGGGTGGTGCAGCCTGAGATCCGTCATTTGATAATGTTGTTGTCTCAATACCACGATCCAGTAATGTCGTTGTCTCATTTGTCGTTCCATTCGCAACTTTTATTGTATCAGTTTCATTATTCACTTTCTTTGTCTGAATTGTCGTTTCTTTCACAAGCTTTGTGGTTTTCGTTTCGTTAGTGACTGATTTTTTCGTCTCAATTTGCGTTCCATTTGCGGGTGGTGGTGCCTGAGATTCCCTATTTGACGATGTTGTTGTCTCAATCCCATTATCCATTAATGTCATTGTCTCATTTGTTGTTCCATTCACAACTTTTATTGTATCAGTTTCATTATTCAATGTCTTTGTCTTAATTGTCGTTTCATTCACGAGCTTTGTGATTTTCGTTCCATTAGAGACTGATTTTTTCGTCTCAATTTGCGTTCCATTTGCGGATGGTGGTGCCTGAGATTCCCTATTTGACGATGTCGTTGTCTCAATCTCATTATCCATTAATGTCATTGTCTCATTTGTCGTTCCATTAACAACTTTTATTGTATCAGTTTCATTATTCAATGTCTTTGTCTTAATTGTCGTTTCATTCACGAGCTTTGTGATTTCCGTTTCATTAGTGACTGATTTTTTCGTCTCAATTTTCGTTCCATTTGCGGGTGGTGGTGCCTGAGATTCCCTATTTGACGATGTCGTTGTCTCAATCACATCATCAATTAATGTCGTTGTCTCATTTGTCGTTCCATTTGCAACTTTCATTGTATCAGTTTCATTATTCAATGTCTTTGTCTCAATTGTCGTTTTATTCACAAGTTTTGTGGTTTTCGTTTCATTATTGACTGATTTTTTCGTCACAATTTTCATTTCATTTGCAGGTGGTGTAGCCTGAGATCCGTTATTTGATGATGTCGTTGTCTCAATCCCATTATCCAGTAATGTTGTCTCATTTGTCGTTCCATTCGCAAATTTTATTGTATTAGTTTTATTATTCACTTTCTTTGTCTGAATTGTCGTTTCTTTCACAAGCTTTGTGGTTTTCGTTTCATTAGTGGCTGATTTTTTCGTCTCAATTTGCGTTCCATTTACGGGTGGTGGTGTCTGAGATTCCCTATTTGACGATGTCGTTGTCATATTCCCATTATCCATTAATGTCATTGTCTCATTTGTCGTTCCATTCACAACTTTTATTGTATCAGTTTCATTATTCAATGTCTTTGTCTTAATTGTCGTTTCATTCACGAGCTTTGTGATTTTCGTTTCATTAGTGACTGATTTTTTCGTCTCAATTTTCGTTCCATTTGCGAGTGGTGGTGCCTGAGATTCCCTATTTGATGATGTCGTTGTCTCAATCACATCATCAATTAATGTCGTTGTTTCATTTGTCGTTCCGTTCGCAACTTTCATTGTATCAGTTTCATTATTCAATGTCTTTGTCTCAATTGTCGTTTCATTCACCAGCTTTGTGGTTTTCGTTTCATTAGTGACTGATTTTTTCGTCTCAATTTTCGTTTTATTTGCAGGTGGTGCAGCCTGAAATCCATTATTTGATAATGCCATTGTCTCATTTGTCGTTCCGTTAGCAACTTTTACTGTATCAGTTTGATCAATCAATGTCTTTGTCTCAGTTGTCGTTTCATTCACATATGCAGCTGTATCGTTGTTAACCGACACCTGTCAACCAAAAAATCTATATTGCAAACATGCACTCATTTGTGAGAAAACAATTAAAGAAGAAATCTTATTCCATTGTTTTGCTCGTGCGGAGTAATTGTGACACTTGCACTGCAAATCAAGATGAAATCCAGTGACTTCTTCATTGAACCACATTTTTTATCGAATCGGAATCATTTTATCAAATCACTCTGATTATATATATAGACGTCCGCATGAGAATGACTCATTTTGTCACCAGAAAATTTTCACTGAGTGACGTTTGCACAGAAGTGTCGGAACTTTTTCTTCCATTAAGCCCCTTCCCCTTCTTTATAGTCTACGCTCTATACAGGAGTCAGCTCAGAATTTTGATTTTCATTTTTTGAGATTTTTCTTGTCTTGAATGTAATTTTTAAGATTTTCCTGTCTTGTCAGTTTAGCAAAACCGACTGAATTCTTCCTTATAGAGCCATCGTTAGTTTTTCATGTTTCAGGGAAATCCACCGAAGCGCTGTGAAACACAATGGCTAACACATCGTGGAACCACTGAAATATAGTCAATTTCAATAGGACGCATTTAACAATAGCACAATTTGATGTGAGAAACCCTGCAGTTGGTTCCTAAACAATATATATTCAAAAATAGACAAATCTGAACTGTCCTTCGAAAACTGCAATTATCACGGAAACTAAATTGGAGTGAGTGTTTTTCATGCAGACGTCCACATACTCTTAATCAGTATTGTTAAGGATAATCGGGCGAGGAGGAAATGTAGGAGGTGAGGCGGAGGGGTTTCTATTGTTTTCCTGCAGAAAACCAATCGCTGAACAAAAAAAATTTTCCCATTCGGATTCAACATTCAGGCAATATTAGGGAGTATCTCCGGTTAAAAATTATTTTTGGAGCTAATCAAATTTATTTGTATCTGTTCCACGCATTGAATGGTTTTCAGATTGTTTTTCTTTTTTATAAATGAAAAAATATTAATCCATGCGAAAAAGTGGGAACATCGGCGGTAGTTTTTTTTCACCAGGAGCTGGTACCACCGGCTCGAGGGAGCTCCAATCACAACGCTTCATCGCTCTCTCTCAAGAGACGTTTAAATTGACTGCGCTACCACCACCCGATCGGTACGTGGGACGTTGCTGTTCGTTTGGTTTTTTGGTGATTCCCATAAGATCACGGGTTAAATGACCACTTTTTCAAAAATTCATAATAAATTAACCATGCTTCCCAGCAGTCTGAAACCTTGCACATGCCTTTTCCATCATTTAAAGAATACGTAAAAAAACAAAAAAATGGCTGCTTTTTTTCTAACCCTCCGGGCTCGCCCGATTATCCTTAGGGAGAGACTCCTTAACCCGTGAGTTTTGAACCTCACGGGTTATTAAAGTGCAAATTTCCATATGCTTCCCCTACATTCCATAAATCTAAAGAATGATCATTACTGTGATAAAACTCATTGTTTAGTGACCGTTTGCCGTATAGAATTCTAAAATGATATAAACAAAAAAAAGGGTTCGGTGTACCCAATTTTTGAAATAAACAATTTTCTCCTCCAAAATTTACCAAGAAATGTCTAAAAAACAATTGCTAAGCACTTTTTTCATGTTTGACTCCTAAATAGCATATTTTATATTTTCGTTTCATATGAAAAAATTTCTTGATCATGCATAATCATTCGAAATCAAAGTAGCGGAATATTGACACTGACTAAGATTTCGAATGTCGAAAAAGTGTTTCCTGATATTTTTTTCTGCACATGTTTTGTAATATTTTGAGAAAAACAGTTATCTGTCTCAAAAATTTAATACACTGGCTTTTTTCCATTATATTATTTTGGGCTTCCACGCAACTAATGCACAATTAATAATGACTTTTTTTTACATTAATGATCAGTTTTTCTAAGAATGAAATATAGAGGAAACATGGTGATAATCAGTTCAATAATTAGTGGACTTCAAAACTCACCGGAAGAATCCCCTGTGGTTTTGCTATCACTTGATAGTTACTTACCAATGCATCCGAAAGTCCTAGACTCAGTGAGTGGATTAAAATAATTAAGAATATTTGTTTCATCCCGACAATGGTATCTGCTTCACAGTCGTTTACGAAATGACAACAAAAGCATTTTTTTCTCATGATTCAAATGTGAATTATCGAGGAACGTGCTAAAAATGACCAACATAGATTACGCATTTCTCATTTCAGCAAAGCTGAGATAAAATCATCGCTTCTCAGCTGATTAACACGTAACATAAATGCATGTGAAATCTTCTTGGAGAGGATATGCCACATTATGGGAATCACGCAAAACTCAAATGGGTTGTTCCATTGTTATATGCATACTTTATCTGTACATCGATGACGAAATTCGATGCAGGAAAATATGCCATTTATTCTACATGTGCGGGAAAAACATGAAATTCGGAAAAAAGGATCGAATGTATTTAAGCTATCAAGATTGCTTTTCTTCAAAATTCCTGGCAAGATGTATAGAACAATAATTTTGCAAGATGGGACTCAATTGTTTCAGCATGAAACAATATGTTCTAAAAGTGTTTTGGATGGCAAGGAGTTTGTTTTTCCACCTGGTATTTCAATTTCCGTACGGAACATAGCTATTTTCGTCAAAAGGCCGAAAAAAACTTTGCGGACGAGTGCGAGGGTTGCAGACCGAGGCGAAGCCGAGGAATGCAATCACACGCGTCAGAAAAGTTATTTTCAGCCGAGTGACGAACTAGTATATTTCGATATGAGTGAGATGGAATTTCCACGAATGTGAAGTTGGCGGCCCGAGACGAAACCGAAGGCTGTCAATCACACGAGCTGAAAATTCCCGTCTCACATATGTCAAACAATATTTTTTGTGATACCTGCCTGAAGAGTTCATTTTTTGAAACCATCTTGCGTAAAGTATTATTAGATGTACAAATTAATGTGCTTTTTTTCATGCAAATCAGAGTTTATTATAAAAAAAACAAAAAGACATTTAACGGTCGAAATATTTCCCATTATTTTCGAAGACTTTACTCCACCTCACTGGCAACTGACGAATTCCTTCGCGAAAGAAACTTGGCGGTTTTGACTCAATAAATTCATCGATGCTTTTTCCGACGTCGTCGATTGTTTTGAAGTGCTCATCAGCTAGGTGGTGTTGAAGAGACCGAAATAGGTGGTAGTCGGATGGGGCGAGATCAGGCGAGTAAGCCGCGTGAGGTAGAACCTTCCATCCTAATTCACCGATAATATCCTCAGTCGCTTTGGCGACATGCGGTCGAGCGGTGTCATGTTGGAGAATCACTTGTCTACTTCCACTGCCAGTATATGGCCTCTTTTGCTCCAATGCATCATTCAAATGAATAAGTTGTTGATAAACCTTCGCAGTAACAATTTGGCCAGGTTTAAGTAGCTCATAATATATCACACCCTTCATATCCCACCAGATACCCAGCATCACTTTTCTCGCATAGACATTGGGTTTCGGAGTCGACGTCGATGGTTCGCCGGGATTCACCCACAATTTTTTGCGTTTAGGGCTGTCGTATAACACCCACTTTTCATCGCCCGTAATGATTTTGTATAAGAAATCTTTTCTTTCAAATCGAGTGAATAGAGATAGCGCCGTCTCCAGTCGTCGTCTCCAGTCGTCCTTATTTTCGGGGCTCAGATCATGAGGAACCCATCTACCCTCCTTTTGAATTTTGCCAAGTTGGTGGAGACGATGAGAAATGCATTGTTGAGTCACTCCGAGTTGTAGTGCAAACTCTGTTTGGCTTTGAGCAGAATTTTAAGCCCTAGAGGTGTTCGAGTTCTTCATCGCCGAATTTTTGCGGTTGACCCGGCGGTTCTCGAACCGAAAGATCGAAATCTCCGTCTCTAAACCTCTGGTACCACTTTTTACACGTTTTATGTGTTACAGCGTTTTTTCCAAGAGCACTACAAATTATTTGAGTAGCCTCGGCAGCATTTTTCTTTAATTGAAATGCAAAAAGAATGCAGTGCCTCAAGAGTTTCTTATCGACAGACATCGTGTTTACTACTATTTTTTCAGGTTATGTAAGAAGTATTTACTGTTTCGGCAACTGAATACTATCAACATACAAAATATTGAAATATTAAGTTTTTGAACGCAATTATAAACCGCGAAATATAGGGGCTTCTTATCAATTTGTACACCTAATAAATTCTCGTGCGTAAAGCTTCGCTTTACGCACAGCTTTGCACTTTACGTACTTCGTGTACAAAAACAACCACTTTACTCCCACTATCGTTCTGAACAGTGAACTTGGCTGGTATCCCACAAAATAGGATAACTACGCGTGCGTGCGAAAAGTGGTTGTGTACACACCTGTAACACAATATACTATTTTGAAACACGTGCTTGGAAAAGTTCCTTCTTGTTTACAGATTTTTGTGCATAAAATGGCACTTCTCTTAACTTTTACGATAGTAAACGAAAAGTGACTTTTCATTTACGGAATTCACTTGTCGATTATAACAGCTGACTTTTTAGTTACAAGTTGTGTTTCGTTCCTATGTCACTGTTGGAATGATGGCGCTGTATTACATTTTCGACCAATCTGGTGTCGTTATTCTTGTAACTACGGGCAGAGCTGAAACCATCGGTTTAGTCCTGTTAACTGAATTGCATCAGCCATACAGTAGCCATTACGCGCTGGAGTCATCTGCTTGTAATTGTTAATGATCTGAACATTTCAAGGGCTAAATGTGTGTATGTCATGCCGGCACATACGAATAAATTACATAGAGAAATCCTATGAATTCGCTAGAAAATTCAAATTGACTTCAATTGAACTTGCTATTAGTTTTTGGCCGATTCTACTAATCCTCTGAATGGAACGCTCACTACTGCACAAAACGCCTACATAAGCACAGTTGCCCGTTCCATCTCACCCCTTACACCGACAGGGTTCGTAGGATTTTCTGTTCAGTAGTTTCCGTCTAGTAGTAAAAAAAAATTATGTAGGCCTTTTCTAAACACTAATTTCAAAAAATAGTGTACGCTGCATGTGTAAAAATTAATATTAGGTGTATAACTTGATTTTGGTCCTTTTTGTCAAAAAAAATTTATATTATAAAATATATAAATACTAGGTCAATCCTCGAAATATCGTCCATCGTTTTTGATGACCTTGAGCCATCGATCAGGCAACATACGAATGCCATCGCGAAAAAAACTTGCAGGCTTTGAGGCGATGAAGTCATCAACGAATTTTCAGAGTTAGGAAGCGGGTTTCCTCCAAGGCGTGCTGCGTGGACCGGAACAGATGGTAATTGGAAGGGGCCAAGTCTGGTGAATAAGCCGCGTGTAGAACAATCTCCCAGCCCAAGCTTAAAATCGTTTTCTGATTCGCGCGAGCAATATGAGGTCGAGCGTTATCATGGAGCAACATGACTCTGCGGCTCCCTTGCCCAGTAAATGGCCTCTGCTCATCAAGTACCTCGCTCAATTTGTTCAATTGTCAACTGTAGCGTTCTGCAGCAACTGCCTGACCTGTTTCCAAAAGTTCGTAATAGAGTATATCCTTCATATCCCACTAGATCCAGAGATCTTTCTTCATGTGAATTTTTTGTTGGGGAGTGGATGTCGATGGTTGTTCGGGCTCCACCCATGACTTTTTCTTTTTGGGATTAGCAAAAAAATATATTTTTCATCTTCCGTCACAATTTTGGACAAAAAATCGTTTTTTGACACTTGGGGAGCAGCGAAAGACAAGTGCTAATGGGTTGACCGAGGGTGGATTCAGTCAATTCGTGTGGAACCCATCTTCCTACCTTTTGTATTTTTCCCATTGCGTGTAATCGTTTACAGACTGCTGCTCGAGTAACTCCTAGCTGAGCTGCAAGCTCTTTTTGGGTTTGCGTTGAGTCTTTGTCGAGTAACTCTTGCAATTCAGCATCTTCAAATTTCAGAGGCTGTCCAGGACGCTCCCAATCGCTGAGATCGAAATCCCTTTCTTTAAGGCGTCTATACCAATATTTACACGTATTATTAGACACAATATCCTTTTCGTGACACGGGACCTGAAAATTAATATACACACCTCGCCACGGAAAATATATCACCCTCCCCCACGTGCAAGATTGCCTTCTGAGCCGAAGGCGAGGATGGCAAGCACGTGCAAGATTGCCTTCTGAGCCGACGGCGAGGATGGCAAGCACGTGGGGAACGGTGATTTGTTTTCCAAGGCTCGGGCATGTAATGTATTATTTCGAGAGTAGAACAAATCGATTCGTGGGCTGCAGTTGCATTTTTTCCTTGTTGAAACTCCTACAGAATACAGTATACAGTGCCGAATGTGCTGCGTATCGGTCGCCATCGTATATACTACTCTTTTGTGAAGTTATGCAGCTCTTCCAGACATAATATGTATTGTATTAAAAACTGCAAGTAAATATTTAAATTTTAAATAAGATAACCCACTCAATGAAAAAAAAAGCTCAAGATTAAGTTATACACCTAATATTTTCAAGGACAGTCGTAGGAGACGGGCAACCTCAAGATACACAGAGAGAAATGTACGAGAAAAATTACCGTGCTCGCACAGTAAAGTGGGTTCAGATGGTCTTTCCAGGCGAAATGTACCGCAAAGAGTAGGAAAAAGTACTGTTGCACGAGTCATTTTTCGGATAAATGCGGGGAAAAATTCTTGCGCAGCACGGTAAAATCGAAGCGACAGTGAATTTTTACGAGAAATACGGAAAAAATTATGACACTGGCTGGCAAATTTTTCCGGTGCTTTACCAGAATCCTAGGATCCGATCGCGCATTCGTAAGACTTCGGCACTCTTCGTCCCCCCTCCGCAACCACGAACATCAGCTCAACGTGATCAGATGACTTATTCCGTCGCCTCTTCTAGCCTCCTCTCTCACATATCTCCTTACTGAAACCCCAGGTTAATGTTTTTCATGATATCGATTCAGTGAAATATTAATTAGTGTTGTGATAAAACGGTTAAGAAATAAATTAAGTGCCTTTTATTTTCTCTTCATGAGGTGTATAACGCTGTAGAGATACATTAGCCTGTCAAACGTTCCACATACGTTTGCCGCGCATTCCGCTTTTAATATAGGGGAGAGGATATGGAGGAGAGGTTAAAATAAAATTAATAGGATGATATGCTGAATGACAATGTTTACTCATTTTTAACTATTGAATGTAATTTATCATGTAATAGAAAACAGGTCAGGAATCAAGCTTTTATTGTGCGCTACCGGAATTTTTACTATGCAGCACCGGAATTTTTCTGGTACTAGACAATTGAACCCACTGTATCAGACGACGCGGTAATTTTTGCCTGAATTTCTCCCGAAAAATTCTGGATTTTTTTTCTCCGTGTAGACTCGACAAACCAAGCCAGTGATGCCAGACGCAAGTCCCACAGGTCCTCCACTCCTCACTCAAGTACCACTGCCCAGCCTTTAGACAACGGCATGACTTATTATTCCACTTGCTGCGGTATCCATTGAGAAGGAATAAGTATTTAAAATAAAGTTAATAAGTGTTGGACGATATAATGATCGGATTTCACATGATCGATAGAGCAGAGGTTACATGTCACAAGCGTCAAATTTCGCAACGGTTTAATGTCACAAGGGTCACAAGGCGATAGTTGAATTTTACGAGAGGCAAATGTCACGAGGGTCACAAGGGCGTGGTCAAATTTCACGAGTCGCACGTCACGAGGGTCACAAGGGAATAGTGACATTTCACAAGGGTCACAAAAGGATGGTCAAATTTCGCGAGAATCAAACGTCACGAGGGTCACAAGGGGATAGTCAAATTTCACAAGGTTTATAACAGGATGGTCAAATTTCACGAGAGTCAAACGTCACGAGGGTAACAAGGGGATAGTCGAATTTCACAAGGGTCACAAGAGTCACAAAAAGATGGTCAAATTTCACGGGAGTCAAATGTCACGAAGGTCACAAAGGGGTGGTCGAATTTCACGAGAGTCACAAGGAGGTGATCAAATTTCATGAGGATCAAACGTCACGAGGGTTACAAGGGAACAATTAAATTTCACAAGGGGTGAATGTCACAATGGCCCTTTTCCACGATAGTCGAACGTCACAAGAAAATGAAATAATTGCACTGGGCTCAAACATCGCGAGGGTCACAAGCAAAGATAATGCTCAAGGCCGTAAAAATCTGCAAAAGTCACCTGGAACATCTTAAACTGTCAATTGTAAGAAGGATTATGGTTGTTAAGCTTTGCTCAATTTTTTATGTTATCATTTGGTACCCTGAAAAATTGTTGGCTAGTTTGTGTTCCGATCAACATGGAATTTCAATTATCTCGTTAAATATTGTGGTTAGGAAAAACTATTGACTAATCTACTTTGTGCATTATGAAACATTCACAAATTTTTGTCTTATAACTTTTTTCCATGTCTCTATTATTTACGGAGATATAGTATTTTTGATTAGAGTGTAAGGGCTTCACACGCTCAATCAATTACCATTGCCGCCTGGGCTCAGCATATGGAATGCCCACATTCCCACCAAACGGACTATATCTCTGTAAATAATAGAGATATGGAAACAAGTCAAAAGACAAAAATTCCCGAATATTTCATAATGCACAATGTAAGTTAGTCAATATTTTTTCCTAACTACAATATTTAACGAGATAATTGAAATTTAATGTTGATCGGAACACAAATTGGCTAACAATCTTTCAGGGTACCAAATAATAACATGGAAAATTGAACAAAGCTTAGCAACCATAATCCTTCTTACAATTGACTTTTGCGGATTTTAACAGCCTTGAGCATTATATTCGCTTGTGACTCTCGCGATGTTTGACCCTAGTGCAATTATCTCATTTGCTTATTCCCTTGTGACGTTCGACTTTTCTGGAAAATGGTCATTGTGACATCCACCCATTGTGAAATTTACTTATCCCCTTGTGACCCTCGTGAAGCTTGACTCTAGTGAAATTTGACCACCCCCTTGTGACCCTTCCGAAGCGCGCTCGGAACACCCTCGCATCACCCGTTTCGCTGCCGCACCCCCTCATATCTAATCTATTATAATTAGGAAAAAATTGTTGTAAGAAAAAATTTTTTTCCAAAGAAAACATTTTAATTCGAAGTTTTTTTCCGAAAATTTGAAAAGTTATATGGGTTGGTGCTCTCAGGAAAAGTTCAAAATTAAATGGATTGTGGAAGGGGAATTCGCCTCTCCTTGTTACGGAAAAGGGGCACCCGCTACAAGCGCCATTCTGTTTGAAATTCAAACCATGTTGCGCGTGATATCTTGTAGCGAAACAGTTGCGAGGAGATAGCAGGAAGGATAGGTTCAATTATAATAATAGCTTTATTAAATTTGCTACGTTTGTATCATTTGGGGCCCTGAAAAGAGCCAACCGGCCATAGAAAGTGATATCTATTCTATCACTGCTCACTCCATAGAAAAAACATTTATTTATATTTAGAGGACTATTTGTTTGATGTGAATAAAGATGCAAATAAAAATCAACTCTAAATTCGGCTGAAGGCTTTATTGTATAAGATATTTGAATTTTTCTTAATTATCATTGCGAATTTATCCTGTCAGTGTACATCTCTTCAATTTATCAGAAAACACTCGATCCTCCACACATTCTGCATGAATTATTCTTGATAATCTCCAGACGGTGTATCTTCGCTTATTGGATGGATAGGCTCTCGAAACTTCTTGAGTATATGTTGTTCTAGTCTCGATGAGTATGCCGCTACCACCTCCGGGTAACATTAGACAACGGTCTTCGTGAGTGTCATAGTACTGATTATGAATGCAGTATTTGACAGATGGGCGTCCGCGACGAGGAGTGTTGTAATACTGCATTTGATTTGGACGGATTACCTTTCGGAAAAAATACCAGTCATATTACTAACATGCAGTTTCGTTACTGAAATTAGATTGTATAGAGAAATTAATTCTGTAAGTCCATTGCTCTGCCCGTACGAAAGAAAAGTAACATTCACTAAAGTGATAGATTTTTTCAGCTAAAAACCCGAGTCGAATATCTGGACCTTATTCCCCCCTATTACCTCCTCGAGTCGAATATCTGGACCTTATTCTCCCCTATTATCTCCTCGAGTCGTATATCTACCTTATTCGCCCCTATTACCTCCTTGAAATATTTTTTCCTTCTTTCTTCATCCTATACATCCTGAATAACTCCTTATATGAACCTGCGTCATCCTAAAGGCGTAAAAACCCTTCTCAACTGATACTTTTTTCCCCCTTCTCCTTCTGTCGAATGAAAAGGAATCATAAATCCCCTGAATTAACCCTGATAGCCAGGATGATCTGTTTGTAGGTTCTTTCCAGGGGGGATGGAGTGGAAAACATTTTAGGCGGTGCAGGCGATAAATAGTTTTAACACACCTTCTGCTTTCCTCCTGAATTCAGGCGGAAACCAGGGGGTCTTTCTGAATGTAAATACACCCTAACCTCATCCTGGTCCTCCTACTCATGATGGGTGTTCAAGGGGGAATTCAGGTCCTAATATTCGACTCGGGAAAATTAACTCGAATTTGAACTCCATATTTTATTCCATAATGATGATGGTGTGGGTGTTGACGCCAATTATTGGTATATTTTTCTACCTTTAAAATTTACATTTTGTTGGGGTTTCATTAATGGTTTTCTCAACATTTGAAAGGTCTGAATAATTTGTTTCCAAATTTTGTTCAATTTTATTCTGAAAAGTAATTCTTTTTAATATCTGCCTGAAAAGTTCCCTTTTTGGAGTGTTTTTGCAGGCGTAGAGTGTTCGCTACCCGCACGACGCATCGAAAGTTCAGAGGTCGTGCGTGAAGTAAATTCTTGTGCGGAAATGTTCGCTTTAAAAACTAAACAATTTCCTCCATTGCACCTCCAAAAAATGGACTCAGCAGGGATTACAAAAAATCAAATCAAATGATAATGACTTACAGTATATGCGAGTGTCGTTGTCTCAATTACATTATTCGATGATGTCCTGGTCTCAACTTTAGTTCCATTTACAAGTTCCGTAGTCTCAGTTCCATTAATTAATAATGTCGTCGTCTCAGTTGTCATTTCATTAGCCGCAACTGTTGTAGATTCAGTTTCATTATTCAAAAATGTCGTGGTGTCAATTGTCGTTTCATTTACAAGTTCAGTGGTTTCAGTTCCATTAATTAATAATGTCGAGGTTTCAACTGTTATTCCATTCATAAGTTCTGTGCATCTCTTCAATGTATCGGAAAACACTCGATCCTTCGCACATTCTGCATGAATTAATCTCGATAATCGCCAGACGGTGTAGCTTCGCTTGTTGGGCGCATCGGCTCTTGCAGCTTCTTGAGTGTATGTAGTTTTGGTCTCGCTGAATACGACTGTACCACCTCCGGGTAACATTAAACAACGGCCTTCGTGAGTGTCATAGTATTGATTACGGATACAGTATTTGACAGGTGGGCGTCCATGACGAGGAATATTGTAATACTGCATTTGATTTGGACGGGTTACCTTTCGGAAAAGATTCGAGTCATATTTCAAACATGGCATTGTATTTTTTGACATAGTGACGGAGCATATTTTTTGTTACGACGTTTACAAGCGGTTTTAGAGCATACGCATCGTGCGTGAAACGAGGCTTCACGAACGGAGTGTCAAAATAGTATATTTCAGCACGTGTGGGGCAATTTCGTCTTTAACGTGTGTGGGGTTTACAGCATGAGCCGAAGGCGAGTGATGTAACCACACACGTTAAGGACGAAATTTCCCAACAAGTACTGAACAAAATTTTATGTCACGAAGCCTGAAACCGGCTGAATTAGACACGAGACGCGAAGCGTCGAGTGTAATCCAGCCGGTTTCAGGCATGAGTGGCATAAAATAAATTTATGCCACTCATGTACTGAAATATACTATACTGAAATTAAACTTCATGAAGAGATTAAGGGGTCTCCGCAGTTGCGATGGGCGCGCGGGTGAGTGGAGTGTGAAATAGTCAAGTTAGTGAGGTTAGTTTCGAGAGAGACGGGACATCAAACATGGCATATGTTGGATAATGACAGATATCGCCATAGTTTTTTTATCATTAATTTATTGAACAAATCAACGATAAAACTCAATGGGACTTCTTGCCCATATTGTTTAGGGCTTAATATAGAACAATTTAGCTTCTTTTTCTGGCTAGCACATTGTCAACAGTGTGAAGGATATGGGACAATATGGTGCTACTTTAAAGTAGCGTCCATAAAGGTTCTGTATAAGGCGCAATTTGAATAATTAATTAAACACGAACGAAACCATACAAGTACTTAGAACTGCTTTTACAAATACCTTTTTAACATTTTTGATTAACGTATGATATATTTAATTCGCAAGCACATTGTCATATTTTACCCAAAATTACTGCGAAGACCCCTTAATTGAATAATTCAACTGCTTTATCCGTACGAACGAAAAGAAACATTCACAATGGAAATCGAGGAGGAATTGATAGATTTTTCTAACTGAAGAAAAATTTACTTGAATTGGAACTACTCATTTGATTTCATAATGGTGACGGTATGTGTGTTTACTGGAGTTATTAATATGGTGTTCCACCTTCAAAATTTCTATTTTGCTGAGGTTTCTTTCATGGATTTCTCAATATTTGAAACGTCAGAATAATTTGGTTCCAAATTTGTTTTAAAGTTTATTCTGAAAAAAATATTTTTCAACACCTGCCTGAAAAGTTGAGGAAAGAAGCAAACACTCTGCTAGACGTACAGTGTTTGCTTCCCGCACGATGTGCGCAAAGTTCAGAAGTCGTGCGTGAAGTAAATTTATGCCACTCATGCCTGAAACCGGCTGGATTACACACTCGACGCTTCGCGTCACGTGTCTAATTCAGCCGGTATCAGGCTTCGTGACATAAAATTTTGTTCAGTACTTGTTGGGAAATTTCGTCCTTAACGTGTGTGGTTACATCACTCGCCTTCGGCTCATGCTGTAAACCCCACACACGTTAAAGACGATATTGCCCCACACGTGCTGAAATATACTATTTTGTACGTACAGCTTCACTGTAAAAACCAAACGCTCTACCCCGACAGCACCCCTGAAAAGTGAACTTGGCAGGTATTATAAAAAATAGGATGTACTACACGTGCGTCAGAAAAAGTAACACTTTACGCACTCGTAACACAATATACTATCTTTATATTTTTCAAGTTTTGACAAAATTTTGCGTTTTATTAGAGGTCGATAAATATTTTTGAATTTTTAAACGGTTTTTCCGTATCGACAAGGCGACAATCGTACCAATTACAACTGTAACAACGGGATAATACTACCAAAATTAGTTCTATCCGAAAACTTACCCCGTGACGAATCTGCCCGAGGAAAGATAATCTAAATCCTTAAAAACAATGATATAACTACAATCAGTTGATAATGACTTACAGTATATGCGAGTGTCGTTGTCTCAATTACATTATTCGACGATGTCCTGGTCTCAACTTTAGTTCCATTTACAAGTTCCCTAGTCTCAGTTCCATCAATTAATAATGTCGTCATTTCAGTTGTCATTTCATTAGCCGCAACTGTTGTAGATTCAGTTTCATTATTCAAAAATGTCGTGGTGTCAATTGTCATTTCATTTATAAGTTCAGTGGTTTCAGTTTCATTTTGTACCGATGTCGTGGTCACAACTGTTGTTCCATTTGCGAGTTCCGTAGTCTCAGTTCCATTATTCGATAACGTCCTGGGCTCAGTTGTCATTTCATTTGCAACAAATATTGTAGATTCAGTTTGATTATTCAAAAATGTCGTGGTCTGAATTGTCGTTTCATTTACAAGGTCAGTGGTTGCAGTATTATTTTTTACTAATGTTGTGGTCTCAACTGTCCTTCCATTTACAAGTTCCGTAGTCTCCGTTCCATTATTCGATGAAGTCGTGGGCTCAGTTAACATTTCATTTGGAACAAGTGTTGTAGATTCAGTTTGATTATTCAAAAATGTCGTGGTCTCAATTGTTGTTTCATTAACAAGGCCAGTGGTTGCAGTTTCATTTTTTACTAATGTTGTAGTATCAACTGTCGTTCCATTTACAAGTTCCGTAGTCTCAGTTCCATTATTTGATAATGTTGTTGTCTCAGTTATCGTTTCATTCACAACAAGTGTTGTAGATTCAGTTTCATTATTCGATAATGTCGTGGTCTCAGTTGTCGTTTCATTAGCAACAAGTGTTGTAGGTTCAGTTTCATTATTCAAAAATGTCGTGGTGTCAATTGTCGTTTCATTTACAAGTTCCGTAGTCTCAGTTCCATTAATTAATAATGTCGTTGTCTCAATTGTCATTTCATTAGCCGCAACTGTTGTAGATTCAGTTTCATTATTCAAAAATGTCGAAGTGTCAGTTGTCGTTTTATTTACAAGTTCAGTGGTTTCAGTTTCATTTTTTGATAATGTTGTGGTCTCAACTGTTGTTCCATTTGCAAGTTCCGTAGTTTCAGTTCCATTTTTCGATAATGCCGTGGGCTTAGTTGTCATTTCATTTGCAACAAGTGTTGTAGATTCAGTTTGATTATTCAAAAATGTCGTGGTCTGAATTGTCGTTTCATTTACAAGGTCAGTGGTTGCAGTTTCATTTTTTACTAATGTTGTGGTATCAACTGTCGTTCCATTTGCAAGTTCCGTAGTCTTAGTTCCATTATTTAATAATGTTATTGTCTCAGTTGTCGTTTCATTCACAACAAGTGTTGTAGATTCAGTTTCATTGTTCAACACTGTTGTGGTCTCAATTGTCATTTCATTTACACGTTCCGTAGTCTCAGTTCCATTATTTAATAATGTCGTTGCCTTCCCAACAACTGTTGTAGATTCAGTTTCATTATTCGATAATGTCGTGGTCTCAGTTGTCATTTCATTAGCCGCAAGTATTGGAGATTCAGTTTCAGTATTTAAAAATGTCGGGATATCAATTGTCGTTTCATTTACAAGTTCTGTGGTTTCAATTTCATTTTTTACTAATGTCGTGGTCTCAATTGTCGTTCCATTTGCAAGTTCCGTAGTCTCAGTTCCATTATTTAATAATGTTGTTGTCTCAATTGTCGTTTCATTCACAACAAGTGTTATAGATTCAGATTCATTATTCGATAATGTCGTGGTCTCAGTTATCGTTTCATTAGCAACAAGTGTTGTAGATTCAGTGTCATTATTCAAAAATGTCGTGGTGTCAATTGTCGTTTCATTCGCAATAGGTATTGTAGATTCAGTTTCATTATTCGATAATGTCGTGGGATCAGTTGTCGTTTCAGTAGCAACAAGTGTCGTAGGTTCAGTGTCATTATTCAAAAATGTCGTGGTGTCAATTGTCGTTTCATTCGCAATAGGTATTGTAGATTCAGTTTCATTATTCGATAATGTCGTGGGATCAGTTGTCGTTTCAGTAGCAACAAGTGTCGTAGGTTCAGTGTCATTATTCAAAAATGTCGTGGTGTCAATTGTCGTTTCATTCGCAATAGGTATTGTAGATTCAGTTTCATTATTCGATAATGTCGTGGGATCAGTTGTCGTTTCAGTAGCAACAAGTGTCGTAGGTTCAGTGTCATTATTCAAAAATGTCGTGGTGTCAATTGTCGTTTCATTCGCAATAAGTATTGTAGATTCAGTATCATTATTCGATAATGTGGTGGGATCAGTTGTCGTTTCAGTAGCAACAAGTGTTGTAGATTCAGTTTCATTATTCAATACTGTTGTGGTCTCAATTGTCATTTCATTAGCCGCAAGTGTTGTCAGGGCAGTGGTTGCAATTTCATTTTTTACTAATGTTGTGGTCTCAACTGTCGTTCCATTTGCAAGTTCCGTAGTCTCAGTTCCATTATTTAATAATGTTGTTGTCTCAGTTGTCGTTTCAGTAGCAACAAGTGTTGTAGTCTCAGCTTCATTATTCAATACTGTTGTAGTCTCAATTGTCGTTTCATTTACAAGTTCCGTAGTCTCAGTTCCATTATTTAATAATGTTGTTGTCTCAGTTGTCGTTTCAGTAGCAACAAGTGTTGTAGTCTCAGCTTCATTATTCAATACTGTTGTAGTCTCAATTGTCGTTTCATTTACAAGTTCCGTAGTCTCAGTTCCATTATTTAATAATGTCGTTGTCTCAGTTGTCGTTGCCTTCCCAACAACTGTTGTAGATTCAGTTTCATTATTCGATAATGTCGTAGTCCCAGTTGTCATTCCATTTGCAACAAGTGTCATAGATTCAGTTTGATTATTCAAAAATGTCGTGGTCTCAATTGTCGTTTTATTTACAAGGTCAGTGGTTGCAGTTTCATTTTTTACTAATGTCGTGGTCTCAATTGTCGTTACATTTGCAAGCTCCGTAGTCTCAGTTACATTATTTAATAATGTTGTTGTCTCAGTTGTCGTTTCATTCGTAAGTAGTGTAGTATCAGTTTCATTGTTCAATACTGTTGTGGTCTCAATTGTCGTTTCATTTACAAGTTCCGTAGTCTCAGTTCCATTAGTTAATAATGTCGTTGTCTCAGTTGTCGTTGCCTTCCCAACAACTGTTGTAGATTCAGTTTCATTATTCGATAATGTCGTGGTCTCAGTTGTCATTTCATTAGCCGCAACTGTTGTAGATTCAGTTTCATTATTCAAAAATATCGTGGTTTCAACTGTCGTTTCATTAATAAGGCCAGTGGTCGCAGTTTCATTTTTTACTAATGTTGTGGTCTCAACTGTCGTTCCATTCGCAAGTTCCGTAGTCTCAGTTCCATTATTTAATAATGTTGTTGTCTCAGTTGTCGTTTCATTCACAACAAGTGTTGTAGATTCAATTTCATTATTCGATAATGTCGTGGTCTCAGTTGTCATTTCATTAGCCGCAACTGTTGTAGATTCAATTTGATTATTCAAAAATGTCGTGGTTTCAACTGTCGTTCTATTCACAACTACTGTAGTCTCAGTTTCATTGTTCAATACTATTGTGGTCTCAATTGTCGTTTCATTCACAAGTTCCGTAGTCTCAGTTCCATTATTTAATAATGTCGTTGTCTCAGTTGTCGTTGCCTTCCCAACAACTGTTTTAGATTCAGTTCCATTATTCGATAATGTCGTGGTCTCAGTTGTCTTTTGATTAGCCGCAAGTGTTGTAGATTCAGTTTCATTATCAAAAAATATCGTGGTGTCAATTGTCGTTCCATTTGCAAGCTCCGTAGTCTCAGTTACATTATTTAATAATGTTGTCTCAGTTGTCGTTTCATTCACAGTAAGTGTTGTAGATTCAGTTTCATTATTAAAAAATGTTGTGGTTTCAACTGTCGTTTCATTCGGAAGTAGTGTAGTATCAGTTTCATTGTTCAATACTGTTGTGGTCTCAATTGTCGTTTCATTTACAAGTTCCGCAGTCTCAGTTCCATTAATTAATAATGTCGTTGTCTTAGTTGTCGTGGCCTTCCCAACAACTGTTGTAGATTCAATTTCATTATTCGATAATGTCGTGGTCTCAGTTGTCATTTCATTAGCCGCAACTGTTGTACATTCAGTTTCATTATTCAAAAATATCGTGGTTTCAACTGTCGTTTCATTAATAAGGCCAGTGGTTGCAGTTTCATTTTTTACTAATGTTGTGGTCTCAACTGTCGTTCCATTCGCAAGTTCCGTAGTCTCAGTTCCATTATTTAATAATGTTGTTGTCTCAGTTATCGTTTCATTCACAACAAGTGTTGTAGATTCAATTTCATTATTCGATAATGTCGTGGTCTCAGTTGTCATTTCATTAGCCGCAACTGTTGTAGATTCAGTTTGATTATTCGAAAATGTCGTGGTTTCAACTGTCGTTCTATTCACAACTACTGTAGTCTCAGTTTCATTGTTCAATACTGTTGTGGTCTCAATTGTCGTTCCATTCACAAGTTCCGCATTCTCAGTTCCATTATTTAATAATGTCGTTGTCTCAGTTGTCGTTGCCTTCCCAACTGTTTTAGATTCAGTTCCATTATTCGATAATGTCATGGTCTCAGTTGTCATTTCATTAGCCGCAAGTGTTGTAGATTCAGTTTCATTATTAAAAAATATCGTGGTGTCAATTGTCGTTCCATTTGCAAGTTCCGTAGTCCCAGTTACATTATTTAATAATGTTGTTGTCTCAGTTGTCGTTTTATTCACAACAAGTGTTGTAGATTTAGTTTCATTATTTAATAATGTTGTTGTCTCATTTGTCGTTTCATTCGCAAGTAGTGTAGTATCAGTTTCATTGTTCAATACTGTTGCGGTCTCAATTGTCGTTTCCTTCCCAACAACTGTTGTAGATCCAGTTTTATTATTCGATAATTTCGGGGTCTCAGTTGTTATTTCATTAGGAACAAGTTTTGTAGATTTAGTTTCATTATTCAAAAATGGGGTGGTGTCAATTGGTGTTTCATTTACACGTTCGGTCGTTTCAATTTCATTTTTTACTAATGTCGTGGTCTCAATTGTCGTTCCATTCGCAAGTTCCGCAGTCTCAGTTCCATTATTTAATAATGTCGTGATCTCAATGGTTATTTCATTTGCACGTTGTGCTGTCTCAGTTTCATTATTCACCAATGTCGTGGTCTCAATTGTTGATCCGTTTACAAGATCTATGGCTTCAGTTTCATTATTTAATATTGTCGTGGTTTCAATTGTCGTTCCATTCGCAACTGCTGTTGTCTCATTTGCATCATTAGTTAAAGTCCCGTTCACATTCGACTATATAATAAATTCAGTTTAGTGGGTGATTGTATTTGTTTGCCTCTGCAGGCTAATTGTGATATTCGCAATGGAACTGAAAATCGAAATCGATTGGATGTGCAACAAAAAAAACTAAATTTATCATTGAATCGAAATGATTTTGTTCAATACTTGCAATTATATATTATTAACTATGACTTAACGTTTACTCACCTCTCCATTTAGAAGTCCTAGGCTCAATAGGTGAATGAAAATAATTAGGATGATTTTCATCATTGTGCTAGAGACACCTTTCTCGCGGCAGTTTGCAGAATAACGATCATCGCATTCTCTCCTTCGGATTTGAATTCTAATTATCGTGGAGCGTGCTCGAAATAGCCAACATCTTCAAGAATACGCATTCTTCATTCTCTCAAAACTTAGATAACGCCATCATTTCTGAATTGTTCGACACGTTATATTGAAGGTTGTGAAACCATTATGGAAGGGTATTCTGAATTTTTCGATCACGGAACATTCTATTGCAGAGTTTTATATATTATATACATATTTTATGTATGTTAAGATGTGCATTCCAACACAGGAAACAGGTTCTCTTATTGCTTGTAACGACAGCCTGACAAGATCGTCACCCGATTTTACGAATTTTGCAATTTTCGTCACAAGTTCATGGAAAAGTGAGAAAGAATCGATAATACACTTTCGGATAAAACCATTCTGGCCTTTGTGTTTAGGTAAGAAGGCGAAAAGAAAGCGATAAGACGGCCGCACCTGGGGGTAGCGTTCGAGTACTCGAGAAAGAGAATAGGGGAAAGCGTTGCAACTATACCGTGATGGGATAGAAAGAAACGAAAGAAAGAGGGAAGAAATTTAATGAAATTTGTTGCAAGTTCCAAGGAACTTGCAACTGGACATCGTTCGGGGGCCTTTCAGCCAAGTACTCACATTTTTACTTTGTGGACCTAACGATGAAATCCACTATCTTGGGATTTTTCAATGCAAAAAATCTCGAATTCTAGTTGACTGGATTTCTAATTTATCAACATTAGTAGAACGTAAAACAACCGAAAAAAATAGATGAATGTTAGTATCACCTGTTATAACAGTTGATACTGAAAAAAATAGATGAATGTTAGTACCAACTGTTATGACAGTTGATACTAACATTCATCTATTTTTCTCGGTTGTTTTACATTCTACTAATGTTGATAAATGAGAAATCCATTCAACTAGAATTCGAGATTTTTTGCATTGAAAAATCCCAAGATAATGGATTTCATCGTTAGATCCACAAAGTATTTCCTGACAAAAGTGATATAGTCTTCTCATTTTTATGCGCAAATTCCCATTTTCATGATGGAACAAGCCACCAGGCATCATATTGGCGTTAAGTAAATTACACTTAGCAAAGCGTCATTTACGTTTAGAGTTTTCGTGTATATGATATAAACTATTTTATATTACGCTTCCGAAACCCTCTCTTCACGCGGTTCGATCGCGGTCCACCAATTGAACAGTACATAACATTTACAGCCTGCAAATTTTCAACGTAATTTGGCATACGAAGCTTGAGCCTTATATTTACATTTGATATACAGAAAGTCCTACTAGTTTGGACTAACGACAAAAAAACTAGGAAAACGACAACCTCCAGTTAGACGTTAATATCATATAGCTCAAATAGAACAAGGAATTAAATGTTTCGCATTGCGAATAATAATGAGAGTGAAACTATTCAAAGGATACGATGAAAATAGATCAAGTACAAAGCTATTAGAGTTAACCATCTTACCTGACTAAGCTTTTTCTCACGGTCCCCGTGTAGCGTGGGATTCGGCTCTCCCCACTCCCACGACGAGAAAACAAGTAGAAACAATAATCAGATTAGAGTGTTAAATCTCTGCAACTGGCATTTCCACATGTTTTTCCACGGATATGGTTATCAGATTTTCCAGAATGGTGGGCGTATTTGGATCGTGCCTTGATATTTCTCGATTCAGTCTGTGATGGGTGTCATTTGAGTGTGAAGTGGGTTATTCAAGGGTTTTTTTCAACTTTCATGATACAAATTTTATGTTTTTGTTTTTTATTGGTGAATACCAACATTGATTCTTGTTGGGTTACTTACAATAAACTTTATGTGACTACGCCAAAAAACCTTGTTTTTTGAACGTCGAAACATAAAATCGTGTGGAGTACTCGGTGTGGAATTACGTTTTCTACACATGCGACACCTTGCCATTAGTTTAGCCTGTAACATTTGTCGCAAACGGAATTTCGCATTTCGCACTTTTGTATGTGTCGTACGGAAAAAAATATTCCCGAATGGGGCATATTTTATACTGGATTCTGGTATATTATTCTTGGCTAGAGTATATACCATTCTTTAATCAGGTATATTTTATAATCGAATCAAGAATATTTTATACCGACGTCGGTGGCCGAAGCGGCTAGGTGCAAGCCTAGTGTGCGAAAGGTTGTGGGTTCGATTCCCCGTGGAACCGAGTTTTTCAACCGGAGGCTCCGGCGAGCGGGAGGTCGCTAATATAGTGACCGCTTGTACCGGCATGGGTTTCCTGTGGTTTCCCATGCTACTCCTATGTTCTATAGGAGTGCGAATACGGTGCAGTGTAGAATCCACAGCCGCATGCATAGGGTTGGATAGGGCCGATTAGCCAATCAGAAGGCAGAAAGGGCCGAAATATAAAAAAAAAAAAAAAAGAATATTTTATACTCGGTTTACGATCATGCATGAGGTATTCCATGTCAAATGAGTCAATGGCTGACCCTCACCCTCTTGGAAAATTATCTCGATTTTTTCTACAATTGGGGGACTAGAAAAAATATCTCAATTTTTTTTAGATTTTTTTAACAGGTCATTTCGAAGATATGATTTTTTTGTCCCTTTATCATTTTTTTTAATAACTCCAATTCAATTCATCCGATTTTGATTTATTACACGTCAAAATTTTAGATTTTGTACCATCTATAAGAATATTTTGAGTAATTTTTTTTCAACTCCTAAGTATAAAACTTGAATTTTCAAAATTATGTCACGTTTTATTTTTCTCATCTTTTTTCAGTAACTCTTATAATCAGAACAAGTATTTTGAGCCATCATCCAAGTTGGGTTTCGTCCTAGATCTATTTTATTTTCAATTTTTTCTTCCCGAAGTTCCACGAATTTGGTCAAAATACGCCGAAATGGCGTTGATTGACTCCGATTATAAACAGTATAAAGTGGATTTAAATGTATACTTATATGTTACATATTTTTTGGATACATAATCGAAGTCGTTTTGGGGTGTTTTGACCAAATTTGTGGAATTTCGAGAAGAACAAAATAAAAATAAGATAGATCCTGGACGAAACCCAACTTGTATGACGGCTCAGAATACTCATTTTGATTATCAGATTTACAGAAAAAAAAGATGAGAAAAATGCAAGATGACATAATTTTTAAAATTCAAGTTTTTAAATTTTTTTCTTCAATTCGGTATTATGAGCACCTAGGGATTGAAAAAAAAATTACCCGAAATCTTCTTATAGATGGTAGAAAATGGAAAATTGTGAGCCGTCATAAATTAAAATCAGCTGAACTCGAGTTATTGAAAAAAAAAATGAAAAAACAATTTAAAAAATCATATCTCCGAAATGGGCTGTCGAAAAAATCTGGAAAAATTGAGAGATGGTTTTTCTAGCCCCCCAATCGTAGAAAAAATCGAGATCAATTCCCAAAAGGGTGAGGGTGAGCCGTTGACTCATTTGGTATGGAATACCTCATCTACATTATGCTGGTGTAAAATATATCGCATTCGTGTATATTTTTTTCACTGTATGGCAGCGGGTTTCAACAAAAGTTGAACTTTACATTGGTTCAATTTTTGTTTTCATCATCTAACTTCAGATTTTTGTTCTTTTATTAGATTATAATTTGATTTCGTTTGACCTACTCATTGATTATTCTTCGGGATGTAACTTTTCAAAAGCCAGGAATACATTTATTTTGAACGATTTGGAACATCGACGTTATATCAATATATTTATCATGGTGCCTTTCACTCCAGAATCAAGCGAATAATACGATAGGACGTGATCTATATTCTACGTTTCAACGAATTATGAATTCCGAGCTGCTTCGTGGACTTGTGAAGTCGGTTCTCAAGGTTGGGTAGTTTCTTCAGTTCAGTTCCATTATTAGATAGCGTCGCGGTGCCATTGGACTCATCTTTGGAGACTATTTCATTTTTTGATATCAGACGGTATGTCCGAGCAAACTAGTATGCCTCATACAATCTCTGCCCATACCGTCTATACTCTTTTAACCCCCTGGAATCTCGTCTGCGATCGCATCCAAGGGCGAAATCGCATCCAAACCCCTGAACTATCCGCACTGCCTCGTTTAGACATCCCAATTTTGAGACGCTTTGAAATAATTACTTATTTGACCCTTATGGTCAGAGGTCCATTTTGCCCTGCGTGCTTTTCCCATTTGTTTTTCATTTACGGCGTAGTAAAGCGTTTTTTACGTTTTCATTCGAAATGTAAATTTTATTTTCTGAGGTTTGAGTAGCTCAGACGGCGTGATCGCGCTTCTGTGTGAAACCGTCTGTACTCATCCAAATTCCTGGAATGCCATCTGCGAGAACGCACTGGGTCTATACCGTTTATATACATACAAAATTTGCTGGATACCAGGTCATCACGTATGAAAAAATATAATAGAAAATTCTAGCGCATTCGCTATAGGAAATTCTATTGGCATTCTATTACAATTCTATTGGAAACTCGATTTTTTTTCGCATATTCTATTGCCAAGATAGCCAAGTATGTGAGCTCAGACGGCATACCTGAAAAGCATGAAAGATAACCAATATACCGAATGATAGGACAACTTCACACGCGTTTTTTTATCGTCTGTGTTCTGTTCAGTTCACGTATGCCGTCTGTAGATTTACCATATGCGAAAAAAACACGGGAAAGCACAGACGGCATGGCGTCTACGCTCACTAACGTAATGCCGTCTACACTTTTGTGATTATGTGATCTTGTTGTATGCTGTCTGCGAAATTGCATTGAGAACATGTCGTCTGTGCCAAAATCGCACGCATGGACCAGAATACGAGATTCACTCGTTTGAATTCAATAGCTATTAATCTAGGAACAATTAAAACTACCAACAAAGCTATTGAAATTGGGCAAAAAAATATTTTGAGACGAACGTGTGGAAAATATACAAAAATCAAACAAACAGGTCTATGGTGAAGCTCGATACATATTTATCTTAAAAGGAGATGAAAATGGAGTTGAGAAACAAATATCAAATGTCACACAATTCAGCTATCGTCCTGAGATCTGCACACTTTACAAAAGTAATCTCCAGCTGGTATATTTGATGTGTTTATGTCCTGACACTCATAGTGGTGGCAAAATAAACACGCCTCGCACAATATTGCCTCCATATTAAGCATGCTCATAAAACAGTCATCGCAAAAATAGCCGTTTGTCTGTAGTGGAGATTTTAAAGCTTTCTGCAAAGATTTGAATGCGTTCTGGTAACAGTACGGCTATAACAGTTCAATTTCGGCGGTCATCAGTGGTTGAGGCAGCTGATCAGGATCCCATTCCAGTTCGCAAATTCATAATTTCCGCCCTGTCGATAACTCGGAGAGCAATATTTCACGAACTTTTTCTCTTTTCAGCACCCAATACAAGAGTATCTCTAATTGTTCCTTGAGTGATTTGTCAGTGAATGCATTTGATTGCATTCTCCTCCTTTTTGCCTTCGGAGAACAATCATCATCATCACCATCATCTTCATGGCCTTTCTGTTCCTCATTTGGATTTAGGATCTACGCATCGTCATCACTGTTGGTCATGCCAGTATGTTCACTCGAGGTCCTTCTATTGCTGCTACTACTACTATTATTATTAGTGCTACAGCTTCTACTAACAGAAGATTAGTCAGGTACTATATCCACTACTTCCTCGTTCTGATGAGTTGCAGATGACTCGAAATTACAATCATTTTTTAACATATCGCTAAGAGTTCTGGAGCTATATTCATCATCGAAAAGAGAAATCTGTAACAGAGTAATAATTTGTAAAATTGTAAATTTATCATTGTTGTTATAAATAAAGTAGATATACTGAATAATTGTTTATTATAAGACTGTTTTACAAATGAATCTTTCTCTTTACGTCTACTCTCGACTATTCTATGATCGCGACTATTCTCTCCATGTCATCAGCCTTGCTTACTCCGGGCAGCACTCTCCGGACTAGTACAAATGTATTTCCTAATCATCATAAACGAATGAATAGCAGGAATAAGAAGACTATGGGCATCACAAAATATTGTTGCAGATTTAATAATTGAGAAAGTGAATAATGCTTTGTTTTAGTAGTATTAACGATTTATTTCAAAGAACAATATAAAGATGACTGCTCTTGTCTGCAGTCTAGACTCAACTAACTCAACTCTGTACCTTCTAGTTGATACAACAGCGCTGAGCACTCTCTCTCCCCTACAGACCATAGGTAACACGCGCTAAACCACCTCAATACTTCCACCATTTAAGCGTGTTGCATACTCCGTAACACCCAGACTGGCACACATCATTCCGAAACGATCCTTTTTCAACGCTTTGGTAAAAATCAGCCTTTTGTGTCTCAGAAGATACATATTTAACAATTATCTCTTTAGCTTCAACTTTCTCTCGAATATAATGGTTGCGGATATCGATGTGTTTAGTGCGTTTGTGGAATTCTGCATTTTTAGCCAATCTTATTGCACTTTGATTATCAATAAAAATCACAGTGGGCTCAACACATGAATATCCCATATCACTCAACAATTTTCTTAGCCAAACTGCCTCTCGGGCCGCTGCTGATGCTGCTACATACTCGGACTCAGTAGTACTTAGTGTAACTAATTTTTGTCTTTGACTAGACCAAGTAACGGGATCGTTCGCGAGCTCAAACAAATACACTGTCGTTGACCTTCTCGTCCCCATGTCACCTGCGTAATCAGCATCAGAATAACCAACTAACTCAGACTTTCTTCCACCACCACAATACTCAATACCGTGTTTACTCGTACCAATCAAGTATGCAAATATTCGCTTTACTACTTGCCAGTGATCATCATTGTGATTATTGAGATATTTGCTAACAGAATTTACCGCAAATGCAATGTCGGGCCGCGACACGACAGCAAGAAACATTAATGACCCCACTGCTTCCCTGCACGGTACACTTTCAGACTTTTCTTCACCCTCAACTACAGGATACAATATCGTATGAGGGTCTGAAGGTACACTAACCGATTTTGCACTACTCATCCCAAATTTGTCAATCACTCTTCGTACATAGGCATTCTGATGCAAGAACACAGACTTTCTTGCTCTGTCACGCTCAATTTGCATACCCACAAACATACTTGAATCGCCAATAGTAATATTGAATGCGCTGTTCAGATGTTTGATTACAATTTCAATTATTTCTTGAGACTTTGATGCAATTAATCCGTCATCTACAAACAAGGCTAGATATACAACTGAACCATTGACTCTTCCTACAAAGATACATTTGTCTGCTTCGGTTTCTTTAAAATTAAACTCTTTCAGAAACTCACTGAACTTTTTGTTCCAACACCTTGGAGCTTGCTTAAGTCCATACAAGGATTTTTCTAGACAACACACGACATTTTTCTGCACACTTTCACTTGAACCATTGACACTGAGACCTTCAGGCACTTCCATGAAGATTTCCTCCTCCAGTCTACCATGCAGGAATGCCGTCTGTACGTCAAACTGAGCCAGCTCGAGATCCTCTGCAGCAACAATCGCAAGTAGTATCCTCAAGGAGTCGTGTCTCACGACTGGTGCGAAAGTTACCATGAAGTCCATTCCTTGCTTTTGCAAAAATCCACGAGCACACAGTCGTGCCTTGTACCTGTACACATTGCCTTGTGTGTCTCTCATCAACTTGAACACCCATTTAGAATCTATAACTCTCATATTAGGTTGCCGTTCAACTATTGACCAAGTTCCATTCTCTTGATGTGCTTTTAACTCATTTTCTATTGCCTCAATCCAATTACTAGCATCAGTGCTTCCCATAGCTTCTTCAAACGTGAGAGGTACACTGTATTCTGCTACATTGGATTCATAATGAGCAGGTCTTTGCAAGTTTTGACGATTCCTCTAGTTATGTCTGTCAACAACAGGTTGCGCCTGAACGACCAGTTCTTCCGGTACCTCTCCTCCTTGATCAACAGCCGGCTGCAGAACATCGTCCACGTTTGCTCCAACATCATTGTTCTCATTCACTGGTTCCTCTCGTCTGACCTTTGGTAGCAATAACTCGTCCTCTTCATCGTTTTCAATGTTGTCAACTGAAGTTGTCATTTTTCCGACTGTCTCATTGAACACCACGTTGCGTGTGACCGATACTTTCTTCGTCACTGGATCATAGACACGATAATTCGTCGAGTCACCATCGTATCCTACAAGCAGCAGCTTCTTATCTCTCGGGTCAAACTTTGCTGTGAACTGCTACGGTACATTAGCATACGCTTCAGACCCAAAGATACGCAAATGAGTCAAGTCAGGTTTCTTGCCCACCCAAAGCTCATAGGGTGTCACGTCGCCTCGTGCACTCGATGATCCCAATCTATTCATTAGATACACTGCTGTATTCGAAGCTTCAGCCCACAGAGTTAATGGAAGACTCTTTGCATGTATCATAGTCCTTGCGCTCTCGACAATCGTTCTGTTGTCACCCTCGGCTATGCCGTTTTGTTCTGGCGTGTACGATGCTGAGTACTCCCGCTGTATTCCTCGCGATTCAAGATAACTGTCCATGGCTTTGTTTCGAAACTCTCGTCCATTATCGGACCTCAACACTTTCATTGGTCTTCCAAATTTATTCTCAACCAATTTGTCAAACACTTTAAACTTTTCGTACACATCACTTTTGTGTTTCAGAAAATATATAGACCGAAAGCTGGTTGCATCGTCTTTGAATGTCAAGAAAAATCGTGAACCTCCTGAAGTTTCTACAGACATTGGTCCGCACACATCGGTGTGGAACACTTCACCAGGTGCTGTGGATGCTCGTGTACGCTCTTTCTCAAATTTAAGCCTGTGTGACTTATCAATTTGACAGGGCTCACAAAACACACTACGCTTGTCCGACAACTCAATTCCATCCACAAGACCTCTTTCCACCAGCTCATGCAATTTACGATCATTCACATGTCCGAGTCTTTCATGCCACTTTTGTAAATTTTCTTCTAACACATTTACTTGGACATCAACACGTATATTTCTCACTCTGAACAATAATCGGTAAATTTCATTCTCTTGCTTTAATGCACATGCTAACACTTTGTCACCATCACTCATTGTCACATGATTTTCCCGAAAAACAACTTCATAACCACGTGACGTGCATACTCCAACCGAAAAAAGATTTTTTTTTCATTTGTGGTACATAAAGAACATTCTCGATTCGTGATTGATTCCAAGCGCCATCAACGTATTTCTCAATCAAAACAGTTCCTTCACCAACAATTTGACACTGTTTGTTATCACCCAGAGAAATTGTCCCGCCATCTGTTGACTCTCGATAATCTGTAAGCCATTCACGATGATGTGTAATGCGTCTCGATGGTCCGCTGTCAGTAATCTAGACATGCGCTTTACCAGCGTTGAGCACTTCTTGTTTAACCGTGACCGGTGGTTCAGCTAGATTCCTTTTACCGACCTTGTCGGGTTCTCTCTTTGGCTTCTCAGCAATGAACGCACAATCAGACGACCACTGTGTTCCACTCTTGAAGGAATTTCGTTTGCTTTGGCCGTTCGTTTCCTGCTTCTTTGAACAATCTCTGACATAATGTCCCTTCTCTTTACACTTAAAACACTTGATGTTCCTGGCATCTCTTGGCTTTTCCGATTCATGTGATGTTTTCTTCTTTGCTTGCTCATTTTTCTTAAATGCTGCAAAAGCTCCAGGAACCTCATCATCCTGTGTTAATCGGGCCTCCTCACGAATAAGTCTTTCTTGTAAATTCTCAATTGTCTGTCGGGTTGGATCAACACTATCCCACGCTGTCTGGAACGTTGCGTACTTCGACGACAAACTCGCAAGCACTTTTGCCATTATTGTCGTGTCCGACACAGTGTCACCCACATCCAGCAAACCTGTAGCCATATTCTGTACTTTTGCAATATGTTGTACTATCGAGTCTCCAGGAGACATTCGATACTCGTGAAACTTCTGTGTTAACATTAATTTATTAGACGCAGACTTTTGTTCGTGAATTCGAGATAACTTGTCCCACATGTCCTTTGCTGTTACACACACTAATAACGATTCCAACTGCTCGTACTCGATGGACGAGGAAATCAGAAACATTGCACGTGCATTCTTTTATCCATAGTTTCTTTGCTTCACTACTCTCATTATCACCCGGCATTCTTCTTTCACCGATTAATATGTCCTGTATACCATGAGCGACCAACAAAGTATTTAGTTGGAACTTCCACCCTTGGAAATTCGTTCCATTGAATTTCTTGATGTTTCTCGCCGATATCTCGTCACCCGCCATTTTTAACGACTCTAACTGACTCTTGGAACAATGGCTGCCGCAGGATACAATAGGGTCACACGTGACGACCAGGATTTTTATTTCGATAAAAACCTCCTTACTTTCTCACAATGTTGCTCAGCTAGGGTACCTGGGCCCATAACCTATTGTTGCAGATTTAATAATTGAGAAAGTGAATAATGCTTTGTTTTAGTAGTATTAACGATTTATTTCAAAGAACAATATAAAGATGACTGCTCTTGTCTGCAGTCTAGACTCAACTAACTTAACTCTGTACCTCCTAGTTGATACAATAGCGCTGAGCGCTCTCTCTCCCCTACCGACCATAGGTAACACATGCTAAACCACCTCAATACAAAATGATGATGAAGATGAATGTTTTCAACATACCGGAAGTTGATACAGCTCGAGAAACTCACCAATTTCTCAAAAAGTTTCAATCTCAGATGTTGTTTACTCATTACCCTGCTTTGAAGACAAGGAAACATCTGGGGCTACTAATGTAGTAGATGGTGACATAATAGGTGATGGTGGTGATGTCGATGGAGCTGGTGTAGCTGGGGCCACGAACACTGATAGGGTGGATGACAGCATACGCTCCGTGGTGGGCACACTGTGTTCGTCATCCTCTGTCCTTTGGCTCTCTCCCTGCTTTGCCAAAGTAGCAGATGGCGACAGAATAGGTGGTGGTGGTGTTGATGGGTCTGATGTAGCTGGGGCCATGAGCACTGATGGGGTGGATGACACCTTACCCTCCGTGGTGGGCACACTGAGCTCGTCGTCATCTGCTGTCTGGCTCTCTCTCTCTCTCTGCTTTGCAGGAGAGGAAACATTTGAGGCTACCAATGTAGTAGATGACGACGGGGTAGGTGCTGGTGGATATTGGGCTGGTGAAGATTGGGCTGGTGGAGCTGGGGCCATGAGCACTGTTAGGGTGGATGACACCTTACCCTCTGTGGTGGGCACACTGAGCTCGTCGTCATCTGCCGTTTGGCTCTCTCTCTCTCTCTGCTTTGCAGGAGAGGAAACATTTGAGGCTACCAGTGTAGCAGATGACGACGGGGTAGGTGCTGGTGGATATTGGGGTGGTGAAGATCGGGCCGCTGGAGCTAGTGACGAATATCTCAGAATCTAAAACAGAAAGAAAAATTTTTGTCACCACCTTTTTTGTAGAGCCAATTGAGGGTTATAAAATGATGGGAAAAATTTTACAATCTCTCTTAGATTCCGAGATATGGATCAAAAACTGGCCAAAAGTCAAAATCGACTTAACCCGGTTTACCACTTCACTACTGAATTATTTCAATAATGAGCAACTTTACAAAAAATGTCAAAACACCTTCTTCGAGGGGAATTTTTGCAGCACAAAAAATGTATGTTTGAAACGCATCAATTTTACATGAAATGTTACACGACAGTTAATGCTGATTCCCTTCGGCAATCCACGAGACAATTCGAGGCCCTTCGGTCAACGGTCAGGACAACGCAAAGACGCTCAATACCCCCCAAAATTCAGTATCCATTCGTATTCCAACGAGTTCACATCAACTAACTAGTAGTCTCTCAACTAGTCCACAAGTATCAAGTAGAACTCAACGAGTAATTCAACGTGTAGTAATTCACCGAATAGTTATATTAACGAGTATTAATCAACATTATTAAGGTTCTATCGAGTTATAGTCAATTAGAGTTCAATATCGCAGTTAGAAAGCAGTGTATAATCACCGATGTGTTCTAGTAAATCAACGTACAGTAATCGTATTAATTCATCAAGTATATTCATCAATTAAATCCGAGAAGTTTAACAGCTTAGATTCAGTAAAATCACCGTTTATTAATTATCATTTATTAATCCAAAGACAATCAGTAATTCGATTTAAGTCATCTATCAACGTGTAAATATTGTATAATACGTTCAAGACGCGCGGTTAAAACCCGTGAATAAACGACAGTGAAATTTTAAGAAACTCTCCAATTTTATTAAGTGTTTTCCCGACATCAACTTAATCACACCTCCCACAACCACGGTAGAATCCAGATCCTCACCATACAATGCATTTTGACATTTTGTCGGAAAATGACTGGCTCTCCAGTTCAATGCTTCATTTCCAAACACGTGAAACTTTAATCACGAAGGTCTTACACTTACTGTGTAGAAGGAAAACGTCTTGGGTCTGTCTTTTTCTGGTGCTTTACACTGTAGACGCACACGAACTCCGCTTGGTACCAGTGAAGATCGCGACCGTACCCCTTAACATTGCGGTCAATCTTCACTCCATTTTGGACATTGTTGTCCAATGTTTTGGATACTCCAACTACAAAATTTTGCGCTGTGGCTTGCTTATAGTGCGCGATTTTAGCCAGCATTGTTTGGTGGTTTGAGCATTTATACCCTTCGAAGAGTATATTCGACATCTGGAAAAAATGGGAGTCGATTTATTTATCTGAAGTTGCAACCAGTTTAACTTCTCATAGCATTGCTACAATTCACTTTTCAATTATGTCTTACCTTCGCATCAAAATTGGAAGCACTAATTCTGATAGTCGAAAATAAGATAAGGGGCTTTAAAGACAACGAAAATGTAGATTTTTAGGTCCGAATTGCAACAACATATGCACACAAAATGCGATCGAGTAATTGAATGAAAATGATCGTCACTGGGGGCTACCACCGTGAGATTTTGTCACGATATAAAATTCCTGTAGAGGTCACGACATTCTATGGCCGCTAACGCTGTGTATTATACCACCGTATACTTGGCGAACAAATTACATATTTTTCAAAAATAATGAATGTAATAATTAGGAAATGATTTGGAAAAATTTAGAAACGCTTTTTCATAATTTGGAAACAAATAGTTATTCAGTAATTATTGAAAAACTGTAGAACCATATACTTGGCAAACATTGACCGAAAATAATGAAATTTCATTTTAATTGATGTAGAACAATTTGGAAATAATAGTGAGAATGTTTTTTTCATTTGGAAATGTAATATTGCATCGAAAATGAATAAAAAAGGAATAAAGGTATTATTGTTCAGGAATCACGTGACCGAGTCTTCCCCTTCCCCTCACTTGCCTCATTTACATATAAAAAAAGTGAGGTTATATCCCTCTTTTGAACCTGAATGTCCTCCTGTCACGTACCTTTCAACAATCTCCTGAAAATTATGAGTAAGCGGTTGAATGAAAAATTGACCACATTGAAAAACAAAATCACTGGACCCCTGATAAAACATGAAAGGATTTATAGAGAGGCAGACAGTGTCGGAGTGTTTCGTTGCTGAAATCTCTAAGCATCAGAAGCCCAAAGCCACCAGGAAACGAAAATCCATGGAGATGAAATACTAAAAAAAACCCTCTCAATTCCCTAAAATCAAAACTAAAAAAGCTGGCGAAATCTCCGAAAAATGAAGAGGAGGAAAATAATCAGCTGGGCAACAACAAATGGGTTCCAGATAACTGCCAGGAGACGTTCAAGCTCTCCAGTGGACGAAATGGGCTGCCACAAAAGTGCTCAGACAAAAAAGCCAGTCTTTCAGATTTTCGATTCCAGTTGCTCCTAGATCTTGTGTTGATCAGTCAAACAAAGGATTAGGTGACATACGCAACTATGGAGAGACTCCAAAATTATGGGTGCACTCCGGATTTTCTGATCATGACTCCTGACAATGTTCTTAGGAAATTAATTCATCCTGTTAGTTTTTATGAGGTGAAGAAAATTATTCAAACCTTCAGAAAAGTTTANATCAGCTGGGCAACAACAAATGGGTTCCAGATAACTGCCAGGAGACGTTCAAGCTCTCCAGTGGACGAAATGGGCTGCCACAAAAGTGCTCAGACAAAAAAGCCAGTCTTTCAGATTTTCGATTCCAGTTGCTCCTAGATCTTGTGTTGATCAGTCAAACAAAGGATTAGGTGACATACGCAACTATGGAGAGACTCCAAAATTATGGGTGCACTCCGGATTTTCTGATCATGACTCCTGACAATGTTCTTAGGAAATTAATTCATCCTGTTAGTTTTTATGAGGTGAAGAAAATTATTCAAACCTTCAGAAAAGTTTAGAAAAGTAATGAGCTATTTGATCATTGTGAATAGTTTTCTGAAACTGTTGGTTTTAAAGGGAAATGTTAAAAAAACCTTTTTTAAAGACGTGAAATTCTATACAAAAAATGTCACTTCTTGGTTTTGTTTTTAAGCTGTGTCTTTCATATATTTTAACAAAAGGAATGAAACACTAGCTTAGAACTCCTAAACCTATTTCTAATCCTGTTTAGATTTAACCTGTTAATTTTTATAAGATGAGGATTTTTTTTCAATAATTATTCTACAAATATTTCTGAAACTATTGGGTTTGAAGGAAAATGTAAAAAAAACATTATTTGAAATATTGACAAAAGGAAATATCGTCCTGTTTGGAAATGTTTTTGTTAACAAGATTTGATCCTAATTTTTTTCCAATTTTTTTCAGCCCGAAGTCCAGTATATTAAGAAAAAGTCCTCCTTTGAGACCGCAAAGGCGACATTCCAGACACAATCCGAGGACTTTGCTCTCTTCGAAAAGTCACCCTGATCGATCAAACCCAGAGTTAAGTTCGAGTCAACTCTTGGTTTATAGGGAAAACCCAGTGAAGGACGAAAAAAAGTCTGCGAAAGTTTCATGAACCCATAATGAACCCAGTGTTAACTCTGGGTTTAATTCATCAGGGCGGTCTCAAGGTGGGACACACCTGCATGCAAGTCCCCTGCATCTGCAATCGTTTGAATTTGGTGGAGAGACAGGCGAAGACACCAGAGGGAATAAGGACGCAATTGGTGGAGTGGCCCCCCTAAGGGTCGCTGGACTGAGATCAATTACCTGCTGGTTGGTTTCGGTTAGGAGATCTGTCTCCTTGAGCATCCTCAATGTGGACAGCGTCCCAGAAAAAATCTTTTGCTCTTTTCCCCTGATAACACAAAATAATTGGGACGACGCTAGGAAAAAATGTCGAACGCACAAATTGTCGAATGAGAATGCGAAGGTGCCGCCATCTGGCGGCGATGCACTGAAATGTTGTAGGATGGTAAAAAAGGGTTTTAAAGTAAAACAAGCAGAGGTAGAAGCCTATTCTACCGAAGCTTTTTTACTGTCGCTTTTTGTGATACTACTTTCTCTCGTTTTTAATTTCTACCAATTCCATTGGTAGTATGCTTCCGAATGGATCCGTAGTTATTCCATTCCAAAATCCAATTCCACTTCTGTGATGGATCGAACTCCCTTGAACACATTACATTTTCAATTAGGACCGTATAAGTTAACTCAGCATGGACCTGATGTAGTTCCCCGGATCAGGTCGGAGCTAGGATCTCCGTATAAGATCCCACACGGGTGTCCGGTTCAGGGCCTGTCTTGACCACGCGTTACATTCATGATCAGGATCATATAATTCAATAACCAGACACCAACCTGATATGAATGATGAATTTGACAGCGTTAATAGAAGTCTAAACCACTTCACAGTCGAAAATAGGAATCTGATCTCAAAAAAAGAGAAAAATTGAAATATCTCGAAAACTTTCAATTGAATGGTACCTATATTTTGATTTGCATCGATAGCCACCACTCAGACGAAAATTTTGAGAGCAAGCAGAATGCATTTGGTCCAGTAGTTTTTGAGATATTAAAGGAAGAATTTTCGATTATAAAGTTAAATATCTCATGAACTACTGGGCCGATTTCGCCCACCGACAATACCAGCCTTCGTTACCAACGGCGCTATAATCATACAAAGTTTGAAGTTTTTATCTCAATTATTTTTTGAGTTATCGTGGATA